ATCAATAATAGAGTCCTTCCTCAATCACTGATAGTCTACTTTGGTACAGAATGTATTGTGCACATTTTTCTTCATATTTTCCAAGGCATGGTAATTTCGGTTTTATTTTATAGCTGACAGACAGCCATAAATTTTTTTACCCAACCCATGAGCTAGTCAAAAACTTGATTACCCAACCCATATCTCTTCGGTACCAACCCCGGGTGTAAATAATGAACGGTCCCTTAGGAAACTTAATTTATTGCCTATATCTTACTGGCTTGAAATAAAGGATCTCATCTTTTTTTTCAAATGCAAACAAGGCCTCTACGACCTAGATATCTCCTCTTTTGTCACCTTTTCTTCTAATCGCTCATCTCGCACCCGTTCAAGCAAGGACAACTTGCTTCAAGTCAATCCGTGCAAAACCTCTCTTTTTAGAAACTCTTTTTTTAACCGAATTGTCTTTCTATGGAACAATCTCTCTCCAATCATTCGTAACAGTTAGTCTGTTTCATCCTTTAAGTTCCAGCTCCATTCTCACTACTCTTCTCAATTAGACTCTTCTTTCGATGTTAACAGAATGCGCACGTGGAAAACCTACTGCTCTAAATGCCGTTCTTTCAACTTAAGCTGTTGCTCATAATCTAAACTATTAATTTTTATATAGCTATGTAAATAGTGTTCTAGTCCTTGTCTTTAATGTATGCCTACTTATTGTATTGTATCAGGTTGGTCTTTACATGGGACTCATGTCCTGTTGACCATACCTTCAATCATTGTTATATTTTTTGCATGATTGTAAAGTTAATAAATAAATAAATAAATAAGTAAAGCTTTTGACAAAGTGTGGCATAAAGGTCTCCTTTTTAAGTTGAAACGTTTAAGTATTAGAGATCCATTACTATCTTGGATTAAAAGCTATTTGACAAACAGAAAACAACGAGTAGTTATTGATGGAAACATGTCTGATTGGAAAGACGTTGAAGCAGGAGTGCCACAGGGATCAGTACTTGCGCCACTGCTATTTCTAGTTTATATAAATGATATTACTGATAATATTCAAAGTACTTGCTTTCTTTATGCGGACGATACTTCTTTGTTAGAAATTGTCGAAGATGCCCAATTAAGTTCAGCCAAACTTAATAGTGACTTAACAAATATTAGTAAATGGACATGTGATTGGCTCGTCACTATTAATCCTAGTAAAACTGAAGCAGTGATCTTCTCCACTAAGAGATACAAACCAGTACATCCAGCTTTATATTATGAAAATAACGAAATAAATATTGTCAATAGTCATAATCATCTTGGAGTCACTCTTTCTTCTAACATGTCCTGGAGAACACATGTTTTAAATATTCATGATAAAGCTTCAAAGCGATTAAATTTATTGAAAGGTTTGAAATTTAAAATTAATAGAAATACTTTGGAAAAGCTTTACAAATCTTTAATTAGACCTCTGATGGAATATGCAGATGTTGTTTGGGATGGTTGTTGTGAAAATGTTAGTGACTTGCTTGAATCTGTACAATATGAATTTGCTAGAGTGGTCACTGGTGCAATGAAGGGTACTGGGCACCAAAGACTGCTCGAGGAGTTAGCATGGGAAAGTCTGAAGACAAGACGTTCAGTTCACAAACTTGTTTTGTTCTTTAAGATAGTTAATAATTTGACACCAAGTTTTTTATCTGATTTGCTTACTCCTATGGCACAACAAAGATCAGGGTTATTGCTAAGATCTGCCTGTAACTTTGGCTTATTCCAATGTTGTACGGAAAGATTTAAAAAAAATTTTTTCCGGCCACTACAGGCTTATGGAACAGTTTAGCCTATAAATTTAGGGATACTCAATCGTTAAGATATTTTAAAAGTTATTTGCAGGATTTCTTTTACATTTCAACTTATGAGAAATGCTATGATTATGCACTAGATAGATATCATTATATTCTTCATGCTCCACTTCGCTTGAGTTGTTGTGCTTTAAACTACTATCTTTTCAAAATTAATTGTGTGATATCTCCAGCATGTAATTGTGGGTTTAATTGTGAATCTGTAATTCATTATTTTTTATATTGTCCCCGATATGCTGCTCTTAGGACTTTCTTGTTAGCGGCCATGGTTGAAATCTTGGGAAGTGGCTGGTATCACATGTCCGATTTTTCTAAAACAAAAATACTTTTGTTTGGATCTGAGAATCTGACTTTGAATAAAAATAATGCTATTTTTTCCATGTACAAACGTATATCAAAAGATTGGAGTGTTTTACAGTTTGTAATGACTGATCTAATCACTTCTCAGGCTGTCTATATGATTTATACCACTTTATAATGCTTTTAAATGTAAATTGGCATGAGCCCCCTAGATGAGCTTAAATAACTCTTGGGGCAAACGATTAAATATGTTTAAATAAAAAAAAAAAACTAAAAAAAAAAACAAGCGAATCCGTATATTCTTGTACAGCATAAACAGGTTACACTAGGTTTTATATTTGTGTTTATTTATATCAAACTAAGTCAGATCTATAAGAGCATATTTAAACTAAATATTAAATGCAATAGCCATATTGTTCAAGATGAGAGTAAGCAAATTTTGTGTGAATCACCACTTGCATGGAGACACCTAGATGCAGCTTGGGTGCAACTTTGCCTGTGGTTGAAAATCTCCAGAAATTTCGGTATATCTTAGAAAACATAGACGGGGTCTTCAGAGATTTCAGCTGATTCATGCCAAACTTCACTACACATAAATAATATGATTAATATCGATTGAGAAGTCTTTTGGCGCTGTTTATTTGTTTTGAAGACTTGCATATTTCATTAAAGAATATCTCGCCACTCCTTGATGAGTAGCTGTCAAATACTGCCATTTTTTGGGTAGTCACGTGAACGGCCCAGACCAGGGCTTCCTCATCTCTCCCCTCATCCTCACACTAAAGCCCTGGGAGCGAGGTTGACATTGAATGGCAGCTGTTTTTGATATGCTGAAAACAACTGTTTTCAACAATTGTAAAACAACTGTAATATTAAATAAGTCATCAGGCAGCTTTAATTTTATTACACCAAACAATTGAACGGTCACAGTGACCATTGGATCATCAAATTATTTGTAATGTATATAGATTATATTTATAAAATACACTTTATGTGAATAGAAAATAGCTTAAATTATCCGTACCTTTATTAATCGTAACTTTGCAGTTTGTATAATCTTCATTATCAGATTATCTTCTTCAGAATAAAGTGAATTGTAACTAACCCCCTCCAAACTAACCCCCCCCCCCCGGAAAAAGGCGAAGGAAAACCTGTTTTATCAACCTTGTTGGGGCATGTTAAAAAACATTGAACAAACTTGTTATCAAGGGTGTTATCGCCTGTTGTAACAATATTGCTGCAAATTGTTCACATCATAAAACATCACTAATATCACTGTTGATATCGGTTGTTCCAACAACACTGTTCTCACGTTGTTGATTTATCAACCGTAAACAACATTCTTCCAACAGGCGTGAACAATGTTGATAACAAGGGTTGTTCAGGGTGGGCAGCACAACATTGCTGCATCCTGATCTGAACAATATCGAACAAGTTGTTATCAAGTTGCATCAACCTGATCAATTTTTAGGCGTGTGGTGAGAATTTGTATTTGAGAATTGAATATACAGGCAAAAACTTGGTGTAACATGCAATAAAAGAGTAACAAAACAAAGTACAGATAAGGAGGGGAGGCTAGGGATTTATTCTGAGTAAACTATGCAAATTTAAATGAACCAATGGAGACCAATAAGGAACAAAACTATAAACAATGATATACTTTTCAATCTTTTCCCGTTTTGTTCGCGCAAATAAAAAAATAATGCTGGGAAATGAAAAAGCAGTGATTAATAATGTATAATATGGTTGTTTCGAAGATTTGACTTTTTCACAAAAATTGTGTCCCAGACCACCTTACTTGCAGAGAGATTACACAATGGTGCCTCTTGCAGTATGATTTTTTGTCCAACAGAACTTCTGCATATTTCTCCGTACACGGTCATATCAGATAATATACGAAATCTGCAAATCTTTTTGTATACATTTGCCAAGGAGACTCAAAGTGCCGAGGGAAAATTACCCGGTAGTTAGTAGTTAGATAATTATTTTCCCGCTCTTTTGTTAAATTTTTTTGTTGAGATTTTGTACTTCGGGTTTCAGAACCTTCCCGCTTCTGTAATTTGTTTTGTATTTCTGTAATTGCTCCGTCGGGCATAGCCCGAGGAAGCATTAAAATGCTAGTTTTCTGTCTTTAGATCAGTCACACAACCTCATCCCCAGGGCCTTCGTCACAGAATAAAGACATACAGAAGTGTAACTTCCATTACAAAACCGTAAGGTGCTTTTTTACTGAAATAGCTGGCAGCCATCTTCTTAGCAAGTGCCCTAAAGAGAGGCATTTACCCCCCTGGAATATTAAATTTTCAATATGTTTTCAGGGGGGTGACTGCCTCTCTTTAGGGCAGTTGCTAAGAACATGGAGGACTGAAAAAATCCCTTACGCGAAATTAACCTGAAGTGAGATCTCCGTATGTACTTCCTCTGTGCCTTCATGCTGAGAGGCGCATGCTGAGAAGGCCCTGGCATCGGCTCTCATTTTACACCCCAAATTTTGGGGTAAAAATTTATGGAATGTCATCAGTGCCAAAACGTGACTATTTATTTCTATACTGACATTACATCATTATTGTTGACGACATCACATGTTTTCACTTGCCCAACTTATATAGACATTTTATTCGGATAGAAATTTTATTCGGATAGAAATTTTATTCGGGTAGAAATTTTATTCCGGTAGAAATTTTATTCTGATAGAAATTTTATTCCGATAGAAATTTTATTCGGATAGAAAAATAGAAATTTAATGACGGGCCCACAAGCACCACTGGTCAGTATTATGACTAAAAACATGTTACCACTTCATGTAAAGGAACACATAATAGTTTTGAGGTGATTATTTTTAAAAGGTATTTTGATATTAGATTTTATATGGCTAATGGCAACAAATTACATTTACAGATCTTTGAAGATCCGAGAAGACAAATTACCGACTGTGTAACGCTAATAAGCAGCGATGAATTCAACAATAATGCTTTAAATTACGTTCACAGAAAGCTTGATCAAATCTGGAGAGAGGTATTCAGACTAACAGAAGTCAATATTGTGGATGAATACACTTTGCATTGTGTAAGTGATGCCATTGCCTGCCTTCAACGGGTTGAAGAAGTCGAATATAGTACCCGTTATCAGGCTCCTCTAGTTAATGATGGAAGTACAGGTCGACCAGTTTTTAATATTACACATGACCAACTTCATTTTTTCCTGGCACATGGATTTACAGGCCCAGCAATTGCTAATATCACTGAAGTATCACTGAGAACAGTACGTCGACGGATCAACCAGTACGGACTTTTTAAAGATGTGTTTCGATCAGATGTCACAGATGCTGAGCTTGATGACATTGTTTCCAATGTCATGGAGCAGTTTCCAAATATCGGGTACCGCCTGTTGGAAGGGGAACTTAGAAGGAGGAATATAGTTATAATGAGGGCAAGGTGCAGAGAGGTGCTTAGAAGATTAGACCCTGTCGGTGTTGTGGACAGGTTACACAGTTTATGCTATAGAAGGAAGTACTCTGTATATGGCCCACTGGCAATTTGGCGTGTGGATGGAAACCATAAGTTAATAAGGTAAACAGGTAGGAATTTTGAGGGTGGGAAAGGGTATTTTCGTGAGCTGTGAATGGTCAATATTTGTTTGTGTGAAATGCTTGATTTTAATAGTGTTGTGAAATGTGATTTGTTCTACAGCCGTGAGACATGATTGTCGATAAAAATGCTCTGTGAAATGAGAATTAAGGATGTCTGTTTCGTGAACTGTGATTTTGCCTTCTTTATTTCGATCTATTTTATAATAGTCATAATAGATATGATATGCGATAATCAATTTATATGATCTCACACGATTGCACAACAGCACAAGAGTAAAAACTTCGGAGGCCTTTCGGAGCTCGTCAGACATACTCGTCACTCAAACTTGTAAGTTAGGTAGAGAAGTGAGAGAACTTAAATACTGTACCATGCATTATTATTAAATATACTCTCAAATAAACCTATTATTATTATATTATTTTATTACAATCTAATTTTCCATGAAATTGCTTTTTTAAGACATGTGAATCGTGAAACAGCTTTTTTCGTTGTGAAACGTGACCCATATCCCCTTTCCCACCCTCAATTTTATCTGCGCTGGCGCACACGAAAAATCCTTAAACTTACTAAAATGGTTAGGCTTAATATTTTTTGGGAAGCAAGCAATACTAAGATTGGCAAGTCCTTACAAGAATTTACATTAATTTATTTAAAAATTATGGGAAAATGGTATGTATAAAAGAGTAACTGTAATTGAAATGTGACAATACTTAAAGTATTTATTTCTATGACGAACTTAAAATGGAAAACGCTAAATTTTCAACCTGTTGAGTGTTGTAAAAAATCTAGTCGAGAGCGTCAAAATGACAGTATCTCTAACTGAATTAAAAAAATTCTGCTGAGCCTCAAAACCAAATATGGTTTAATTAGACTGCTCCTTAAAACATACTTTGTATTGGGAGAGAATTTGTTCAACCTCAAAATTCGCAATTTTTGTTGGATTTTTTGGACATTTTTATTGGAATCCAAGGTATTTCCTTTGTTAAACGATTCACAAAAGTTTCCTTTTTATAGCTAAACTTTTTTATCCTCCTAACGTTCTCATACCTTTCTGGCCTCCCCAATAATGCAATAGATTAAAATGAACTGTTGATGATAGTAAAAGTACCAGAATGCCCAAAGATGGCAAAGCCAAGGGGCCAGCTGTGATGACTCATTTGATGCTTGATTACTATTCTGCAGCATTTGTTCATACATTTTCATGTAGATGGCGACTTGTTATACATGGAGGAATCGATGGCTACACAAGATTCCCTGTTTATTTGCAGTGCTCAAACAATAACCGCTCAGATACAGTCTTAGAGTTATTTGCAAATGCTGTTAGGGAGTATGGTCTCCCTTCCCGAGTGCGATCAGATAAAGGTGGGGAAAATGTTGGCATTTCTATGTATATGTAGGAGCATCCTTTACGAGGACCTGGCAGAGGGAGTATGATTTGTGGTAAAAGCGTTCATAATCAACACATTGAACAACTCTGGCGTGATGTTTTTTCAGGTGTAACCCATATATACTATCAGTTATTTTACTATATGGAGGAAAATGGTGTACTGGATCCAATAAATGAAATTCACTTGTTCTGCCTTCATTATGTCTATTTACCTCGCATAAACAAGCATTTGAAACTTTGGAAAGAAGGCTGGTTGCAGCACAGGATTTGCACAGCAGGGAACCAAACACCTATGCAATTGTATATGTCCGGCCTTCTTCATAACTCAAATTCTCAGCATAGAACATCAACAGAAATTAATGATCATCTTAGCCAAGTAAGTAGTAAATTTTCACATCTTCTAAATAGAATAATATTTGTAATATGTCTTCAAATGCATCAAAAATGCTCGATAGGATGGTGAATATGCATTTTTACTGAAATATTTGCTCTTTATAACTTTTCAACACACTAACAACAGTTACACAAGTCATTTCCTTATTTTTTCAGGAAGAATTGATGATTATGGAATTGACTGGGATGGTCCTCTTGTAGATCAAGCAGAATTAGATCACAGTGTTGACGTGCCTGAGCTACCACATATTATAACTCATGAAATGGAGCAGGAATTGAGGCAGTTGATTAATCCACTTCAATAAAGTGATTGCCATGGTTTGGATATTTACATGGAAACCCTTCAGTTTGTTGAAACAGTTATACAACCACAATATACTGCAATAATAACACAATATACTGCAATATGCATACCTGTCAATCAACCAATCAGAATTTTCACACACAAAATTCAACTTCAGTGCACCTGTACACAGTCCCTACATTTGCACTTTCGAGGAGTTAAGTTATACATATGTACATATTAATTATTTCTGACAAATTATGGTTTTCCATTTGCTTTTACAGTAGTCATGGCTCAACATGCGAATGAAGAAAATTGTCTGTGTTATATTTGCAGTTGTTCATTTTAATATTACAATTACAATTATTGAAAAAATCTACTATTTTTTATGCGAGATTTCACAGTAGATGATTAATTCAAAGGCATCAGAGCGACCTTAAAAGTGTGTGTGTGTACCACACATAGCGGCCGCCGAAGGCGGGTGACATTCTAGAGGGGCCCTTTGCCCCCATCCTGCATCCGACACCCCTGAATTAATTGAAGTTGTACATTATGGTTTCTTCTGTTTCACGGTGATTTGAGCCTTTCTCTGATAATACTGGAACAAATGCATTCAAGATTTCTTCCTCGGTCACCATACAACTTGTAAGCTTGTTAACAGTACTCTCCAGGTACTGCTTCGGTAACTCAAGAACACCAAAAGTGATAGACCATCCATAAAACTGAATATTTCTTCAGCCACTGAACTAATCATTATATGTTTGACAACGCTCCTGGCCAAGTCTTCCTTTCTTTCAATCGGTACGGAGACATTGTTTATTCCCATGTCAAACCACTCATGAAAAGAAGAAACTTCCTTGTTCCAAGAAGCTTCTGATTTGCTTGCCAGCAATGATGCTAATTTATCTTTAATCTCACGTTTTCTTCAGACATGGGCTTGTACTCTTTGCTTACAATGTAATTGGCAAGGATTGGGCAAAAGAAATGCAGTCCGGTGCCACATTTCAGAAGACTTTGACCCATTACCTTATAATGACTGTTGTTCAATGCCTGTTGGTCATGCATGAACGTAATGTTTGGCGGTTCACCTCTTGTAACACCTGATTCAGACACCTGTTTAAAAACAATGGAGAACATTTCTCTTGTGGGGCCACTGGTGTCAACAGCTGGCTCTCCAATAAACTCCACCTTCATTTGTGTTGATTGAACTGTTTTAACTGTATTATCTTGTATTTCGTTTAGCGCCCGTTTCCACACTTTTGATCGTTGGGCGTAAAGGTTCAACCGCTCTGTACCAAACGAAAATTTCACACAATTTTGTTTAAGAGCTTGCCCGAGAGATTCGTGAGCAGGTGCTGTACTAAGCTGCAATCCTAGAGGAAGTTCCTCCTCTGAACTGACATTTATTTCTTCTTCTAGCTTATGTGCAAATACCATGTCAGAACGTATTTGGTCTTCAACAGTGCTATTTACTAAAAAAGAGAAACAACTACTATCATTACACTGGGGGAGGAAGGGAGGGTTAGATAAGTTTGTTTTGTCAAATAATCAATTTAAGCAAAGCTACAAATTGTGGTAAATGGAATAATATATTCTAGAATTCTCTATTTCCCCCAGGTTATTTTCAGTATGCCAACACATCTGCGTCACAAAAATTAATCCGTACAAGGTCCAAGTACCTCGGTAGAACAAGGGAACCATTTTCTAGTACTGTTAATATTATAAAATATTAGATAAAAATCGAACTTCAGTTACTAAGCATGTGAACAACTGATGCAAACTTGGGATTAACCAATTAGAAATTATACTGAAGGTCGTGCAAGAATTTTTGGCTGATAATTTAAGGGATCAAAACCTTTGCAGAGAAGTGAAAATTTAAAAAATGCTTCTCTGCAATATGGCATGTTGTAAGAACTGCTAATTAGTAAAATGGACATTCCTGTATATAGCTAGGCACATTATTACTCGTATATTTGTAACCCACTGGTGTGACGAAATGCAATAAATAATTTATTCCTGGCAGGGAAGTGCTGTCAGATGGACAACACTTCACCATGTGAAGTGCAATCACTGCTCATTCAGGTTCGCACTGAAGACCTGAATGAGCAGACCTATTGTAGATACTCTATGTGGTCAGTCAGGTTATCAGTTGTGGCCCGGGGTAATCTGCCCTATATCAATAGTTGTTCACCAAGTTCAACTAGGTCTCAATGTCGACAGCCTGACGGATCTGAACGGGAGTCCGCTTGTTCCCCTGTTATCTAGAGGTCTGCCTGTTCCTCTAGAACAACCTACAGTTTTAGCATGTATCCTCATTCCTCAGCCAGCTTTGAGTACCATGGGTAATGTGCCCTATACCAATAGTTGTTCAACAGTCCAATTACAGTGTAGGCATCAACTCGCTGAACGACATGCACAGAGTCAAGCATGCCCTCTGCGGTCTAGAGATTTGCCTGTTTCTCGGCCAGAACTGTTTTAGAGCACTTCTCTGCCCAACATATATGCCACAAAAGTGTGTTTCAAGTTATTGTTGTCTTCCTTAGTCACCAGCTGTTCTATTTTAATTATCTGTTTCTTTCCAACATATTCAACATCATTAATGTTAATTAACTTGGCAATATTAGCTTGAACAGTCGCAAGGTTATGTCAAAGATTGTAGAAAACGATCATAAAAGGCATTTTGGCTTAAAAAAATAGATTGAATTTTGGAATTTGTTGTAGCAATGCTTTGCTAAAGAAATGCGTTGCTAAAGAAATGCCAGTAACCAATCTGGTATTCTTTGTTGTACATGCAAAGCTGCCTATAATGTTATCGTCTTCTTAGCTGTTAACATTAACCCTAGTTAAAATAACATAATGTTAAAATTAGTAAAATGATGTAACGTTTCAGTTAATCCAATATGGCAATAACTAAAGGCGTGCGGCCAAATAGGCTTGTTTTTTTTATCATTGACTGATATAAATTATGCATCAGACCACCAATAGTTTCAATTTTTGTATTGTATTTAACTTGGTCGTAACATTTAATTCTAATTCCATGAAAATTATTCGCCAGATATTTATGCAATGTCACAGATGTATGATGTCACAGATTGTCTTGACTTAACTTGCTATATGGCAATCTCACTCGATTTAGTTAAGCAAAATAAGCATTTTTAAATACTGCATGAAAATTCTTGCATATATGCAGGATTTGATTTAGAACAGTTTACCCATAAAAATGCTACTAACATGCAATCCATAGC